ATCCGAGCATCAGACCGCACACGGAAAACAGTGCATGTCAGCTGTTACGAATGAACTTACAGCAGAAAGAATCTATGAGCCCACGTTGATCACAGAAACAAGATGGGAAGTAGGTTGGCTCTTCTTCACGACAGATTTCCAGCGGACGACTATGTCGTCATAATGGCGTCAGAAGATTAACAGTCTGCCACCGTCACCATAAAAGTGGACTTGGGAGAGACGAGCGTGACGTTAGCATCGGCAGGCAGTAAAGCCGGAGAGGCAGTGCTGTGCGGATGCAGGACACGCACAGTCTCAACCCGTCCCTACACGTTACCTACGACGACGAGGGAAAATACCCCGCGTATGGCAGAGCCCAGACAACACGTGGTCGGGGGACCAGAAGCAAGGCTCCCAACAAGGGGCCGCCGGTGCCTCCAGACCCGATGCGCCAGGACAGCAACGTGTGGTGTTTCCCAGCCAGAAGGTCTGATCTGATCCTGACGCCAGACCAGCCCACACGGAGCCCCGTAATACAACTGGCAGTCGGTCCTCACAAACACCAATGTCGTTAAGGACGGGGGCAGGCTGAGCGGCCAGTGGAGCCGTGGCCCTGGCCGCGTCCCCGGCCAGGAGGGGCGGCGGGGAGGGCGTGTGGGGGCAGCCCGCAAGGCCGGGATGCGAACAGCAGATCCATAAAAAGCGTTCCTCGTGCAGGCGTCCTGGGTTGGGCTCTATGGCGGCCACCGCAAACCAGACCCACATCCCGAGGATACCGCACCCCGCAGCATGGGGTCGAGGGGTGTGTGGGGAGGCAGGGGGGAGGGTTCCCCCTGTTTCTGCAAGTCTGAAATCCGTTCAAAATAGAAAGTTAAAAACAAACACAAACTGAGCAACACACGTAAAACAACAAAGCTTCTTTTTGGGCCCGTGCTGCCGGGTTGAGGGGTGGAGCCCAGGGCGCCCGCCGCCTCCCCTCCAGTCAACAGGGACGACCCTGGGAAGGGCCTACGGTCTCTCCTGCAAACGTCTTCCCGTGAGGGCTACCGACGCCTGATTGCTTGAGCCTCGGACAGAAGTCCGTACACACGTGTGAACACACCGAAGGGTAACAGGCCTGCGGCGTCTCCTGGCTGCACGCTCCCTGGGGGCCGGGCTCTGGGGTTAACACACTGCCCGTCTCGCCCGACGTGCGGTCCGGACGCAGGCAGCCCGGGGCTGTGCGGCAGGAGAGACCACAGGGCCGCCTGCCCCTGTCCCTGTCCCTCTGTGACACGGGCCGGTGCACCTGTGTGACCATGGCTGCACTTGAGGCCAGCAGGGGGCAGGGAAGGGGCGAAGGGGTCCTGTTCTCGGGGCTCGTGTTCACTTGGGGAGGAAATGCACTGACTGAGGTTCACGGGGACGGGGACACCCCACGGTCCCTGTAACGGGCTCTGAATTTAAATGTAGAAAATCTCTTTTCTGAGGTAGCTTTCTGAGCTTTATTTTTTTAAGCGACTACGTTTTTCCCCGACATACTCACGCGATCACCAAAGGATGCAGAACGGGGTCCTCGCATGGTGGGCCTCCAACTTCCTGAACGCGCCCATCTGCACAGAAAGTGCCCACGGCCCCAGTGCGTGCACTGTGGGCTTGCTTTGCGTGGACATGAAATCTCTGGGGTGGCCTGAATGGGCTCGGGAATCCCTCGGGAGAGACCTGAGGTATCTTAATATAAACAAATGGAATTGTGGCTGAAATGTGCCCTTTATAGATTTTTGAGGCTGAACAAGGCAAATACTGAGAAAGTTACAAGGTGCTATAAACGTTCTCTGTGTACCGTCAATAGGCAAGGCTGAGACTGAAGGCGCTGACATTTAGTAACTGAGGCCTCTCGCCTTGGTTAATTTCCGGAACCTCTGGCGCTTTGGGGGTGCAGGCATAAAACACTACCGATAATGGGGAGCGCGAGTGTGTCAGGCAGCTCTGGCTGCTCCGACAGGTCATCCCAGACCAGGGGCTGGAGTCCAAGGTCACGGTGCTGGACTCCCTGTCTGGTGGGACCCTCACCTGTCTTCCCCTCACCTGGGGACGCGGGAGGGAGGGGTTGGGAGGGTCACTGGACAGACGTAACCACGGCCGGGTGACCTGCGAGCTGGGCACTCGGAGGCTCCTGCCCCCACCCTTGCCCTTGATGTGGGTTCCGCTTCCCTCCTGCCCCAAGGACACAGGCTGAGGGAACTGCGCGTTGGTACCACCCGAACGGTGGGCACAGCGCCCGAGCCCACTGAAGGCCTCTCTCTATAGAGACTGGCAAGACCCGGCAGGCGGGTGCAGGGAGCCCGGGGGCTGCGTCTGTCCTCGGCCTCGCCGTGTGGTCTGCACGCGGGCGGTGGCCTCGGATGGCACCTGGGAGGGTGCGGAGGGAGGCTGGCCTCGGCTCTTCAGGTAAGGGTGCTATTCCCACCACGGCCGCCCCGCCCCCGCGCCCACGGCCGCCGCCTCCCTGCGTCCAGAGTCCAGGACAACACCGCCCCCGCGCCCCACGGCCGCCCCGCCCCCACGTCCACACCCACACCCCACACCCCGCCTGCACGCACCCCCTCTGCGTCCACACCCGCACCGCCCCCGCCCACTCGGGAGCTCCAGGGTCTCGGCGCCCAAGGGACAGGGCAGGTGCGCGCGTGCGGTGGGCACCGGTTCAGGAGCCCCGCGGACGGAGGTGTCGGGTCCCCGACCAGGGCCCGCCCTCCGACTGAGGGCCGGCTCCACGCACCCCTGCACCTCCTCCCGCGAGGTGAGGGACCACGTACCCCTGAAAGCACATCTGACAGAGCCGAGTCTGCGCCTCAGTGGAGCCGGAGGCCACCGCGTGACTACAGGCCCAGGAAGGGACGCTGCGGCGACCTGCAGGTCAGGGGCACCCCCACACCCCACCACGGGAAGGCCCCCGAACCCTGACGGGTCCCTCCCACCCGGGCTCCGGGAGGCAGGAGACCCTGTCGCAGCTCAGTGTTGTCCCCTCTGGCCACTGGCCCTGCCAGGTGCCCCCAGAGTAAGGATGGGGTCGTCTGCCACCTCTCACCCCTGCCTTCCCCACGAAGACCTGTCCTGCAAGCTGGTGAGCCCCTCCCCGGCTCAGCGCGGCCGAGCAGCTGGCCTGTGCCAGGCACCGCGGGGACCAGCAGTCCGGCGGTGGGCAGACACACACAAAGCCGCTCTCGTTGGCCTGACGGTCTGAACACGGGGTGAGGCTCCATCAGCTGGCAGGGACCAGCCAGGGAGGGGCTCCCCTGCGTCCTGAGCTGACTGCACATCGACGAGCCTCGGCTCTGACACCAGGGAGTGAGCCCCAGCACTGGCACAGCTGGGTCCCTGCCATGTCACCTACCAGCACGGAGTCAACCTCCGGGACTCAGGTGCCTAATGTAAACGGGACCAACGGTGCTCAGTGCAGGGTTGTTCACACGGGCACGGTGCTCACTGCAGGGTCATTCTCACAAGGACAGTGCTCAGTGCAGGGTCGTTTGTATGAGAATGGTGTGCGGCGCAGGGTTGTTTGCACGGGCCCGGTGCTCAGCGCAGGGTCGTTCTCACGGGGATGGCAAGAAGCTGCAGGTTGGTCAGCACAGCGCCCAACACAGGGCAGGGGTGGTCAGCTGCGGGAGACCCCGGGGTCTGAGAGAGGGGGGGCAGGGGGCATGGCCTCCCAGCCTGCAGGGTCTGGGGCACACACGTGAGCAGGGCCGGGGACAGTCTTCCTTGGTCAGAGAGGACGCCTGCTGTCCCGCCGTCCTCTCCCTCTGCCCCCATGGCCGTGGCCGTTCTGAAGACACAGCCTGTGACAGAGAAACACGTCTCTCCCAACATGCGAAGGGCAGTGGCGAGCGACAGTGCGTAGTATTCAGCCTCCCCGCGGAGGCCAAGCCAGAGAGCTCGTGTCCCAGCTCAGGACACAGCGCCCACCCCCCCCCCCCCCGCCCCCGGAGCAGGCCAGTGCAGGCCACTGAGGCCACATCTTCCCGTTTCTCGAGATTCCAGAATTTCTCTTCCTTTCTTAAGGATTTTCATTATTTTTAAAGAATCTTTTACTTATTTTTGAGAGACAGGGAGAGGCGATGTGAGGGGAGGGGCACAGAGAGGGAGAGGACAGAGGATCTAAAGCCGGCTCTGAGCTGTCAGCACAGAGCCCAGTGCAGGACTCGAACTCACGAACCGTCAGATCATGACCTGAGCCGAAGTTGGACGCTCAATCCACTGAGCCCCCCAGGCGGCCCGAGATGCCAGGATTTCTGGCTTATGTGCACTCAGCGCCCACCTGCCCTCTCTGCAGACGGCGCGAGTCACACGGGGCGCCCCACTCTGCGTGTCCGGATGCAGAGGCCTTCAGCCACGCCCATGGCTGGTACCCGGTGACCTGGGCCTGGCGCGGAGCCCACAAAGCGCTGTACAACCTGGCAGGGCCCGGCCGGCCCTTGGCAGTAAAGGTGCGTGGGTCCTGGATCAGAAAGCGTCTTCTGTGCAATCACGCCTGCCTGGTGTTGCTCACGGGAAGTCCCTGTTCAGGGAGCAGGAACGTGTGTGTGTGGGGCCAGCTCACGTGGCCTGGCACTTCCCTCTCCGCACACAAGCGCGTCGTTATAAAGACGTAAGGTGTAAGGGGGAGCCCCGGGAAAGGTCAAATCCTAGCGTAGGCCACGTGAAAATCAGCCTAAACATTTCACTCTAACTGGATGAACTGTGAACAGAGGTGGACCATCACGCCAACCTCCAAGGCAGGAACGCCTCGCACCGCCGCAAACAGGATTGAGAGATAAGCCTGGGTGGCTCAGTCCGTTGGCGTCCGACTTCGGCTCAGGTCGTGATCTCACGGTGTGTGAGTTCAAGCCCCGAGTTGGGCTCCTTGCTGTCAGCACAGAACCCACCTCAGATCTTCTGTTCCCCTCTCTCTAACCCCTCCCCAGCTTCCACTCGTGCTCTCAAAAATGGAAACATTAAAAAAATTTAAAAAAAAGAACAGACATCCCTCTGAGTCCATAAACATGTTTATAAGTTACTTTATTAAATGTCTGTGTGGACGCGGAAGACATCAGCGTCTGCTCCACACGGGCGGGGCCGCAGGGAGGGAGTTAGTCGTCTTCGCGGGGATGTCACTCACTTCTTACAAGGAGATGGAGGCCTCAGGTCGTGACCTGAGCACAAAGCGGCGGTAAGGAAGACGCGTGAGCCCCGCGTCACTCAAGACTGAGTGGGACGTTTCTGTGACCAACGAACACACGTGTTTTGCAAAGACGCCAAAGAGGTCTTCAAAAAAACCAACAAACCTAATTTTAATTGCACGCTCCAGGCCAGAATCAAGTGTCTGCACGTGTGTCCCCCGCTGTCCACAGGAGGGCGGGACCCTGAAGCCTCTCGAGAGCTGGAATGACACCCCCCCTCCCCCCCAGCAGCACTCTGCTGTTACGTACGACCTACTCGGTTCCTGTTCTTCGGGACTAAAGGAAGTCGGGGGGGAGGAACCCTCACATTCATGGAAGAGGTGGTTACTCCGCGGACACAGGTCTCTTCTGTCCTAAGTGAGCTCTGGGGAGCTGGGTGGGGGCGTTGGGGGGGACCTGGGCCTCCCCGCCCAGTGCTGGTGCATGCCTCCCCGAGGGCCCAGCAGGTGGAGGCGACGTGCCTGCCCCCCCACCTCCCCGCTCACAGGGCAGAGCGGCCACTGCCCAGCCCTGGAACCCACCAATAACAGCCAGAGAATGAGGGTCTGGGTGGGAAGCCCACCGGCGGCTCGGTCCCTTTAAATGGCTCTAAAACCGAACATCTACCTTATTTTGCCAAGTGAGCAAGAGACCGTGAATACACACTTGGTTTTACTGGTGACCCCCACAGCCCCTACTCAAGCAGGTGCCCAGAAAGCTGGCCCAGTTCCCGGGAGGGGGGGTGGGGGGGTCACTCTGGCACACGGTCTGCCTGTGGCCTCACCACCAGATGGCGCTGACACGGCCAGGCAGACCTCTCCATCCACGGAGATTCTAACAAGGGGCCCAAACAGGACACTTTCTGTCTGAAGACAGTGCCCTGCAACTAAGAAGGTCACCACCACTGGACAGGACACACGAGCTGCTGACCACATGATGTGAAAGGCTGGATGCTGACGGCCACAGCACGGGGGGGAGGGGGGTAGTGCGGATGCCAAGTCTCGCCAGGCACTGGGAGTACCCCTGCCTCCCAGACAGGTGGCCCGGCCGCCACCGCGGACGCCCTCCCTGATGGTCAATAGGGCCGCACACTTAGGCTCTCAGGAGCAAACCAGGGCAGCAGAGAGTCACCGTGGCACCGACGTGCCCCCAGAAGCACACCGAGGCTTTGCACACGCTCTGCGGCCACTCAGAAGCCGACCCGAGGGCCACAGTCAGCGGTACTTGGGAGGAGCGCCACGGTGCGCTCGCTGCCTCCCGCCCTGGAGTCTGCGCCGGGCTCCCAGCCGCTCGCTACTGCCCCTTCTTCAGCGGCACCCGGCCGTTGGCCCCCGCGGGCGTCCCGCCGCCGGGCTCAGGCTGCGCGAAGTTCCAGTCCACCGGGGTCAGGAGCTGCTGCGTCTTCTTGTGGGTCCAGTAGGGGTTGATGACGAGCGTGAGCAGGCCCAGCCCCACGAGGAACAGCAGCAGGTGCGGCGGGTACAGGCTGTGGCGCAGGCCGTCCCAGTGCCAGAAGCACACCCACCACATGTGGTAGGTGAGCACCATGCGGCAGTGGAACATGTGGATCATCAGCCACTGGTTGATCCTCCAGAACAGGGAGTCGGACCAGCCGGCCTGCGGGACAGAGCACGCGGGCGTCAGTGTGTGTGTGCACACGGCACACTGCCCACGGCGTCACCGCCTGGGAGCCCAGGCGCACACCAACCCCACCCCTCCCTCTCCCGAGGGCGGCGCCCAGAGCGAAGACTGCCCTCGGCTCTGGACTCCAGCTCCCAGGAGCCACGTTCCGTCTTGTTTCCCGTCTCACTTCGGTCTCCTTCTCAACCCTGAGTGAGCACATACCGGCCGTCACCAGGCCCTGGGAGAAGGGTTTCTACGACAGGGAGCTGGGGGTGCCACACACTTACCTCCTGGTCTGGTCTTGGGCACTTTTACCCCAGGAGCCCACGGACGCAGGTGGAAATGGACTTTACTTAAAAAGACTCCAAATTTACACTAAAACTAGTTTCCAAGAGTTGTAGCCAAAACCAAACAGAACTTGAAGATGGTCCATCAGATCCTGGGCATGAAGGTGGGACCTGGCCAGCCCCAGGCCACTCTGGCGCCAGGACAGTGAGCCCCAGGCAGGTGGCACGGGACAGTGAGCACCAGGCAGGTGGCACGGGACAGTGAGCCCCAGGCAGCTGGCACGGGACAGTGAGCCCCAGGCAGCTGGCACGGGACAGTGAGCACCAGGCAGGTGGCACGGGACAGTGAGCCCCAGGCAGGTGGCACGGGACATCAGCATCCCCACATCCCAGCACCCCTCAGACCTTCCACACACCGGCCGCTATGAACTCGTCTCTGTTGAACCCAAGCTGCACAATCTCCCTCAGGAGCTCCAGGCCCAAGGCGGCCCCTCCCAGGTGGGGACAGTGTCTTGCTTCTGCGCAAGGAAACTCGGCAGTTCGAGGCCGAGAGGCCCCGAGAACAGGAGCAGAAATGACCTCAGGAAAGGGCGTTGCTTGAGCCACATCTGCCGAACCCTGAAGAGGACGCAGCAAACAGATTTCCAAAAGGGAATCTGTTTTTTAAACGTGGGAAAGGAATCCTAACTCTGTCATAAAAGTGTCCTCACAGCTCAGACAAAGGAGAAGGAGAATCCATGCATTGATGACTTAGGAAAAATCAACTGAGAAAAACAAGGAACTTACTTCCTGTCTGAAACACTGGGAGCTTGGCCCAAAAATAACTTCACAAAAAATCTGAATGGCCGCCTACTTTCAGCTCGGACACACCCATGTATGTTTTCTAGTATTGCTGAGAGTTACATTAGGTGTAAATAATGTCTGGAAGAACGTTCTATTTATTCCAGCAGAGTTCAAACGCTAAACACTCCAGCCCTAGTCATGAGCTCTTACTAAGTCTAGAGGAAAGCACCAACACGAAGCAGAGGAGAGAAGCAGAGGAGACAGTCGGGGAGCCCCGTGGAGGCTCTAACAGACGCGCCCTCTCCAGGCACACGGGTTCCTGAGGCGGGTGTCTCGGCCCCCACAGACAGCGTCCCTACTTCAGTCTCCAGGGACCGAAGCTGCGCTGCTGGAGCAGAACGCGCCACCTTCAGACCTCGCGGGCAGCTCTTCGCAAACTCACCAAGTGCTCAGTCTGCCCCAACCCTGGGGAAATAAAACTACAAGCCCGTGTTTGGTGCCACTCGAGGTGGATCATAGCCATGTGCTTCCCGTGAACCCCGCTCTGCTGGAGCAGGATAAATGCACAGGTGTAAGGGCCAAGGAGGCGCAGATCCAAAAGTGTAGCATCTGGGGCCCGAGACGTGGACGGGGGAGGAGCTGTGACCAGGAGGATCCCTGTCATTGGTCTGATGGCTGAGTGACAGGAGGATAAAACAAATGTGCCCATTAACTTTTCTGTAAAATCAGAGGGTGAGGCTGCAGATCTTGGAGGCTCCTGGCTGTCTGAAGGAGAAGCCATGACCACAGTCAGCCCTCCGTCGGCAGGAACCTGGTGCCCTGGCACCCCGGAGTGCCCTAGTCTCGGTGAGAAATAGTGTGGCTGCTGCCAAGTGGCCCCAGTCACCAGGTCCAGTGGTGGCATGGACAACAGTTGGCTTTGGCACAGGCACACTGTTCACGTGCCCTCCCTCAGACACGCACCCAGCACGGGTGGGGCCCGGACGCACATATGTGGTGTGGACGCCCGGTCCCGGCTGCACTGGGCTCTGCTCCCTGTGCGAGTTCCCCTGCACTTGGCCTCACTCTCTTTCCCAAGGGAACAAAGCCTGTATCTGCCTGCACGGGCCCCACCTCCAGAGCTCAGTCCGTTGAACACATTCCTCCCAATCTTCCACATTTTCAGTGTCCGAATGGTCCTGTGGAAAAGACTGAGCCTTTCCATATACCGACTATAGAGCACGGCGTGGCCAGGCAAACCTCAAGGCACCTTCCCGTCACCTCTCCTGCTTGCTGGGCGGCACCAGACTCCGCCTCACCTTGCAGTTCCCTCCAAAATTCACAAAATAAAGGGCTCTTTTCCATTATTTCTGTCACTGCTGAAAGTGTTCTTCTTAAATTACGAATATCCACATCACAAATATGAACTCTTCCTCTACAGTAATTGTATTACAGTTGGAAAGCTCAAAGCTTGCGAACTGAGCATTCTTTGGCATTCCTCTGTGTCACGAGGTGACAGGGTTCTAAGAAAAGCCAGGGACAGGAGGGAGCTCTGTGACAACACACACAGAGACGGCTTTGTGCGGCCCCGGGTCCCGGAGGCGGGCACAGCACGGGACACACACACGACAGTGGGCGGTTTTTACCTTACCTACTTCTCGTCATGGACCAGTGTGTTCTGCTTCTGGATGAATTTTATCATCGAGTGTGTGAGTCCTGTGTGAGTCCAAACGGCATTTCAGAATCCCAGTCGAGGAGGAAATGCTAAGAATAAGCCGCTGTTTTTGACATAAAAACCCGTCCTAAATGATGGAGATGTTTTTGGTCCTGATTTACACTCTTTCATGTGTCATGAAACCAGACCTCAGTGGCTGGCAGACTCTTGAATCCAGATTCCCAGCTTTATGAAAAGCTTACAAGGATGTCACTTTGCTAGGCAGCACGTATTTATGTTTACAGCGTGTGAACTACACGGAATGAAATAGCTTGAATTTCTGGCCCCACATGCCTGAGCTCAGGGCACGTCCTGGCGGCGGCGCCTGCTGGCTCTGCAGAGTGAGTGGTGGTAGAAGCGACCGCACGAAAATCCATCCTGCATGCACGGCGGGCTGCACAGACAGTGGAAAACACAGAGCCAGCCTCTCTCCTGTGCCCGGGCCTCCCTGCACACCTGAGGAGGGAGAGGCCCAGTCGCTCCCCGGAGGCCCTGCTCCAGGCGGGACATAGACATGTCTGGAAAAACACCCATGAAGCCCTTCAACACCAGTCACCTCTGAGCACTGCAAAGAGATAGGAAAGACTTTCATTTCTTCTCTCTGTTTAAGACCTTTCTACAAAAAATGACAAAAATCCGAGATAACTGATAATCTATGTTCTCAAAAAGCGTGAATCAGCCCGAACTCGTGTGTCTCGCAGGTTGTGGCTCAGGTCACCGCGGGACACAGTGGCCAAGCACACGGACTGCGCAACTCCTCTGCTGTCCCTTTGGGGACGTCCCTCCCCACCACAGCCATGTCCGCTGTGAAGCCTGGCATTTGCAGGTGCAAGAGGGAGAGTAAAGTCAGGATGCTGGACCACAGCTCGCCTGGCCCGCACACCCTCCGTCCACACCCGCCCACGATGATGCGTGCTCACGGCCAGAGAGTGAGGGAAGCATCCACCCTGCTCTCCATCCTCAGGAGGCCCCGCTCCGTGGGGAGGACACCCACAGGGGCAGCCCCGGAAAGCCACGTGGCATGACCGGTGCTCGCTGGTCCCAGGCCACAGCATCTTACCCTAAACGACCCACTCTAGGACCTGGGGCCTCAATGACCGTTCAGAGCTCGGCTGAGCAGAAAGGCCCCTTTGCTCCATAGTGGTTTCCAGCCTTCCCCCAGGTCACTCCTGTCTGAGGACCTCACGCCACCCGCAACCCCCCATCCACGAGCATCTGTCCAGATGCTTAACTGCCCGGATGCAGTAGCGCCCGCGGCGCCTGCCCTGGTTCATCTCAGCCCGGCCCCCCGCCCCCTCTCCACGGCCCCTGCCCCTCTACCCACACATCCTCCTGTGGCACCGGGCGGGGGGCGGCCCTGGGGGGCGGCAGGACCACTGGCCACGTGGCCGGCTACGGATGAACAGTCTGCACGCTTCTGCGAAGCCGCTCCTGGTGTGCGTACGCCACCGACCCCCGCGGACCCGCCAGGGAGTGTGGTGGTTCCTACGTCTGCAATTCCTCCCAAAGCTGCGACGCTGTCGCAGGAGTGCTCAGGGACATGGCCGCGCGTGCTGACTGCGGTAGACATTCGCGGAACAAAAAGCTGTATTTCAGGTTCACGTAAAACAGCCTGTGAACAACACGTCATGAAAGATGGCCAGAATCTACGCTGAAAATATAATTCTAGGAGTTTGATGTGAACATCTTGATATCAGAATAAGAGTCGAGATTGTATGTAGAAGACACACTTGTTTTAAAAATAGACTCTTAAAAACAAAAAGGGAACAAATACATAAATAACGATGTCAGGCCCTAAACAACCCGATTCAGAGACAAAAAGTCACGTGTGCTGGTCGCCAGGGAGATGGCGGGTGGGAAGCCTGGGCCCGCCTCCCCACAGACACGAGTCTAGCAACTGTTCAGCACACAGTCCCTCCGGGAAATGCTACACTGATCGAGAGGCCCCTGCGCACAGGAGGGCCCACACTCGTCGTGGCCGGAGGGACACCCAGGACACCCTCTTGTACCACACGGCCAGGAAGAGACCCCAGAAGAGGAAGGAGCCGGTGCACGCGTCCAATACCCCGACTGTTCCAAGGGGCTCCCGGAGGGCGGGCCTGGGTCTGATGGTCCAGCAGAGTGTGGAGGGCAGTGGCGGTGGCTTGGCTGGCAGACCCCCGGCGGTCTGAGACACCGGAGCCTGCGGCCGGCCTGAGCAGCGGGCGGCCGTCTTCCACGTGAGGAGTGTGTGCAGACCAGGGAGGTGCCCGTGTGCTCTAACGCACAGGCAGCAATGCACCTGGGCCGCAGGACCAGGCCGGGTGCTCTGAACCAAGGAACGAGGCGATACTCCAGGAACACACCCAATGAGACAGGGTTGAAAGATGTATGGGACAGAGGACTGCACACAACTGCTGTCAATATTTTCACTGAAGTCATGAGCACAACGCAGGACCAAAGCGAGAATTTCCCAAAGAGACAGGAAAATGTTAACAACAAAAAAGTACCAGACAGAAATCAAGGAGCTGAGGACACAGTGAAGAACAGAAGACTTCACTAGAAAGTTCGCCAAAGTGATCTACACATTTAACGCCATCCCTATCGAAATCACAATGATGCTTTTTACAGAAGAAGAACAATTGTAAAATTCATAGGAAACCACAAGAGACCACAAAGAGTCATGTCACTCTTGAGAAAGAAGAACGAAGATAAAGGCGTCACACTTCCTGATTTCAAACTCTATCACAAAGCTAATCAAAGTTGCACGGCACTGCACGCAGTCGGCCGGAACAGAACACGGAGCCCGGGGAGAAATCCCCCACATCCCATCGGTTCCTCTCCGACAGCGGGGCAAGCGCAGGACCTTGGACAGGTGCTGCTGGGGAGACCGGACAGCCACGTGCAAAGGAACGAAATGGGGCCATGTTCCCACGCCAGACACTTCCAAAGTCCCGCAGACTTCCCAAAGTCAAGTCAGAATGGATTCGTCTTAAAAATAAGACCGATAACTAAGACTCCTGAAGAAAACATGGGGAAAAAGCCTCAGGACATTGGCCCTGGCAGTGACTCCACGGGTGTACACCAAGGGCACAGGCAACAGAAATACAAATAAACAACTGGGTCTGCATGAAACTAATGTCCTGCCTCACAGCAAAGGAAACAATCAAGGGGGTGAAAATACAACCTACAAAGCGGGAGAAAGTATCTGCGAACCACATAAAAACAGATCAGTCTCCAATATATATAAAGAACGACAACTTGATAGTAAAAAAAAAAAATAAATCAGATTCAAAAAATGGCCTAAAGACTCGTTTTCCAGAGAAGCCAACAGCTGTACAAAAAGATGCTCAACGTCACTCGTCATCGGGGAGATGCAAACCCGAACCACACCGAGGAGCCACCTCACACCTGTCAAGGTGACAGTCATCAAGAACATGAAAGACCGGCGTTAGCGAGGGTGTGGAGCCACGGGGAGCCTCGCCGTGCGGGGAGAGGGAAAACGGGGCAGCCACTGTGGAAAACGGTTCGGAGGTTTTATTTTCTAAAACTGAACTGCTGTATGAGCCGGTAACCCCACTTCTAGTACTTTCCCAAAATAACTGACCTCACGGTCTCGCGCCTTCCCGGTGACTAACAGCTAAGACACGAGAGGAGCTGGGTGCCCGCGGTAGGTGCACAGACACACAAAGTGTGGTGTGCACGCAGAACGGAAAACTGTTCGGCCTGAAAAAAGGAGCTTCTTCAATGTGCAACGTGGATGAACCTTGTGGACATGAGGCTCAGGGTGGCTAGCCAGTCACAGAAGGACAAACATCGCACGGCTCTACGGATACGAGTCAAATGCACAGATGGGTGTGGAATGCTGGGTGCCCAGGGCTGGAGAAGGGCGGCGGGGTACTTATTACCAGGCACAAAGTCTCAGCCAAGCAATGGGGGTGAGCTAGAAAGTTCTGCAGTAACGCCCATTACCTAAACACTGGTCAAGAGGGTAGACCAAGTGTTAACGTAAGATGAACTAAAACTTTCAAAAAGATGTGTGCATTCATAGATGTGCTTCTGGATCGTGTTTAAAAAAGCAATTGAGACAAAAATGCATCACGTTTTCTGGGGCTTACAAAGTACTATCAACTCAGATCCACGGAGGCTCGTTTTGTTATGGAGCCAGAAGCTTAAAAGATTTGCTTGAAATTAGTAGGGCCGCCTGGGAGGCTCAGTCAGTTAAACATCCAACTTCAGCTCAGGTCATGATCTCGCGGGTCTGGAGTTCAAGCCCCGCGTCGGGCTCTGTGCTGACGGCTCAGAGCCTGGGGCTTGCCTTGGATTCCGTGTCTCCCTCTCTCTCTGCCCCTCCCCTGCCTGTGCTTGCTCTCTCTCTCTATCCCCCTCTCTGAAAAGTAAATGGAGATTTAAAAGATTAAAATAAAATAAAATTAGTAACATGGTAAAATTAGTAACATGGAGGGACGCCTGAGTAGCTCAGTTGGTTAAGCATCTGATTCTGGATTTCTGCTCAGGATATGATCTCACGGTTTGTGGGGCTCTGCGCTGACAGCACGGAGCCTGCTTGGGATTCTCATTCTCTCTCTCTCTCCCCCTCTCCCCCTCCTCCACTGCACGGTCTCTCAAAATAAACATTAAAACAACGAGTAACACGGAATCCAACATACGACTATTGCTGCTAAGCATGCACGCCACGGCCTGGTCTGGCGGTGACCGCAGAGCGTGGCACGCAGCGAAGCCGCGGCACGGGGCGACCCGGGCGCAGGGCTCTGCTCTGCCCCCCAGGGCACGCTGACGAGGGCCGAGCCGGCGGGCGAGCCCCCGCGCCCACAGGGAACACTCACCTTCAGGAGCATCCAGGAGATGCAGGTGAAGGGAGTGCTCACCTCCAGCAGCAGCGTGATCATGGCCAGGTAGTGGCCCGCCCTGAGGTTGACCACGGAGCCGAGGAAGCCCAGGAAGGCAAAGAGGTGGTGCACCACCAGGAACACGTCGAATGTCCGGAAGAGCGCGTTGGACACATGAACCGCTACGTTTTCAAAGAGGAAGAATCCCGTGGCCGTGGCCACGTGAAACCAGCACCAGTTCTGCTGGCCGCACGCCTTGTCGGCCTGGAGCACGGGGTCTGCCAGCAAGGCCCACAGCCCCGCGGCCGTGCTCTGAACGCCGAAGACGGCGCGGGTGGCCGCCAGGTTCCAGAAGACCTTCTCTCTGGCCACCAGGGAGCGGTAGGTGGCATTCAGGGACGAGGACAGCTGGTGGCAGACGACGAAGACGCCCACGTAGAAGACGAAGCCGGCGACCACCAGCGTCGAGCGGATCTTCCAGGACGTGTAGTCCAGGTCAAAAATGCTCCCCGATGTCCCGCCATCGCTCACATGAGTCATTGTCCTGGGTGTGTGATACGAAAGGCGTCCCAGGGCCAACGCAGGGTTCCAGGCCCCCGCCGGGTCTCCTCCCACAGGGGACCGTCCCAGCAGGTGCCTCTGGACTCGTCATGTATTCATCTCCCACCTGAAGAAGGAACACAGGTTCACGTGGTGGGGACCGGACGGGAGCCCCCCACCTCCCTCACCTTCCTCCGCGGGCGGGGACCGGACGGGACCCCCCCCACCTCCCTCCGCGGGCGGGGACTGGATGGGAGCCTCCCTCACCTCCGTCCGCAGGCAGGGACTGGACGGGAGCCCCCCACCTCCCTCTGCAGGCGGGGACCGGACAGGACCCCCCCCACCTCCCTCTGCGGGCGGGGACTGGACAGGAGCCCCCCACCTCCCTCTGCGGGCGGGGACCGGACGGGACCCCCCCCACCTCCCTCCGCGGGCGGGGACTGGACGGGAGCCTCCCTCACCTCCGTCCGCAGGCAGGGACTGGATGGGACCCCCCCACCTCCCTCCGCGGGCGGGGGCAGGGACCGGACGGGAGACTCCCCCCCTCCTGCAGGAAGTGCGCGGTGCCGGGAGGGGGTTACAACTCCTCTGTACTTGTGTCTTTGCAGATACACAAGCATACACAGCAGGGAAACACCACCGGCAGCAGCAGAGGAGGAAAGGGGAGGGCACGGAGCCGCGAGGTGCTGCTGGGACGGCAGCAGTGGCCGGGCTGACAGCACACAGGCTGGGGCTCCGCCATGGGACACCCTGGTGACAGCCTGGGTCACACTCACAAACTCTCATCCACAGGGTAACACACTCAGGGAACCACACCAGGATATGCTTTGTGAAAGCTCCTCGAGCCCCCAGGAGAGGGCCCGGCCCTGCGCTGTCCGCTGCGGGCTGCACCCGGTGCTGTGCACGGTACTCGACCATGCCGCGTGCAGGCTTCGCGCTGTCCGCACTTGCTCCCCACACGCAGAGATCACCGCAGGAGCGCCAGAGGCAGGGGTGGCGGTGTAGACGGGTGCAGCAGTGTCTGGCACACAGCAGGTGTTCACAGGAGGATCGCTTACAAACCTCAGGAAAACCCAGTCCCCAGTCCAGGCCGTTGACCAGCCCGCAGTGTGAGGCCTGCGTGCACTCTCCCATCGGAAGCAGTGCAGGGGCTGGATGGGAGAGGGACGGGCCGCCCGGGCATGCCCCCCCCCCCCGGGACACGGGGTGGACAGCAGGACCCCGCGCCCAGCAGCGCCCCACGGGCTGTGCCACGTCCTTGCCGGAGGGAACCCGCCTCCGTCATACGTCATCCTCAGTCTTCTCCGCTCTTAAATTCGAGGTGAGAATTCTGAGTCCGACCATGACAAGACCCCTACACTCAGGCGTGAGAACATAAACTGCACTTAACCCGAGGGCCGCGGGCGCGGGTCTCACCACGCTGCTTCCAAGCCCTTTCCTCCTGCGCGGGCGGTGCCTCCACGCAGAAAACACCACGAACAGACTCCCCTCCTCGGTAAGTGCAACTGAAACAACCCAACAATTTTTCTCTGTAACCTTGAAAAACAGAAGTTCATTCCCTCACTGCCCACCAGACACTTAAAAAAAATATTTCTTCTTTTCACAACCAACCCATTTCCCGTTGCTGACCATAGTTTGGTACAATTTGGAGACCACATCAAAATGGACTTCAGGCCTGATTTCCAACATCTAAGGACTTTCTGCCTCCTCATTAGAAGGTGGCTGTCCTATGTTTAGTTAGCACAACAGCGCGCTGTAGTGACCGCCAGGGGAAGGTCGCCAGAATCCGTGTTCCTGCCCTCCACTCACGCCCCCGTAGGGTCCGAGCCCTGAGCTCTCGGGACAGGGTCTGGTGGTGGCTCGGCCGACGCCCTCCTGCATGGGCAGCTGTTTGAAGACACGTGTCCCTCGCCTCTGGGCTCCTGCTGGCGCTGGTCATCCGACTGCCGCCCTCACCGGCCCTGCCTGTCAGCCCCTTACCTCCAGATCTCCCGTGAGCGCCGCTACCCCAGCAGCCCCTCGGACAGGCGCCTCCCCCAGCCTCCCGCTTCTCCTCTGCTGTCTCTAGAAACTCGCCCTGCCTCTGGGACGCTAACCTCCAGGAGACTCTCCGCGGGCGAGGCCGGGCCCCCTGCCCAGCACTGTCCCCTCCCCTGCCCAGCACCGTCCCCGCCCGACACAGGGGCCACGCTCAGGACACACTTGTGGAATACAGGCTCCAGCGGTCGACTTTACTGCAAAGGCTGGATTCTCAAGTCCTCAGAACAGGAAGAAGGGACCTGATGCGTCCTACGTCAGCCTCGCAGGGCGGGACCACAGCGTGCGGAGGGAACCCCAGGACCAGGGGCCAGCAGAGGGGCCAGCGTCCCCCAATCCCCTCCTGCCCCCCACCTTTCACATCCCCCAGCTCTGCGGGGCGCTCACATGCCGGCACTTCCTCTCCCGCCCACGTCTGGGGGGCGAGGGGCGGGACTGCACAGGACCCACGGCGCCCCCAGCTGTCCGTCCTTGGGGAGGTCAGCACGTCTGGCTGAACTGCGAGCCACGAGCCCGGAGCCACGGGCATTAAACCAGCTGTCCATCTGGGACTATTCAGGGAAAAGAGGTAAAAGAGCTATTCTGCCCCAAGTCACCGTGATGCCTACAGGGACGCGGAAAGCACTAGCTCATTTAGCCCACACCACAAAGGCGCCTTTTCTAACTACTGAACTCTCGGAGTTGATAACGGTCCTACCATCAGAGGCAAAGCTCACAGAAGCATCTGTGTTCCTATTTCTCAGCGAACCAGGCTCCGCAGCAGGCTGGCTCCTTGCGGGTGTGAACTGGTTCGGGGAGGAAAGACGAAAGCACCCACATACACACTTCCCACCCGGACTTGAGGCTGCCGGTCGCCTGCGTGCCCAGGAGGGCTCATCAGACAGGCTCGGGCTGCCTCACGGACGGGGTCTCCATTCCTGTTGCTCACGCACCCCAAACACACGCACACGTGTGCACACAGGTCCAGTCTGACAGAGGCTGGGAGGCGCGCCTGGCTCTGGGCGTCCGTGCACACGCGTGTGTCACGTTTATTCCCCTGTATGCTGATGTGCTAAAGCCCTTCCTGGCGGGGGACACCGCCCCTGCCCGGCCAGCCCACTGTTAGACAAGGCAGGGAAGTGACCTCTCAGGGCCCCTCCCCCATCCAGGCCCTGGACTCAGGAGCCAGCACTGCTGCACCCGCCCTCCACCCGCCCCTGCGCCTCCAGACAGTCTTCTTCTGCCTCGGCCCCCCCGCCCCCCCACTGTGCAAACCAGCCAGTCCCCACGTCCCTACGTCCCCGTGGAAACCCCAGCACAGGCTGCAGCCTGACCTTCCCCTGCCTCCGACCAGAACTTCCCCACGTGGCCCAGCTCGGGGCGGGGTGACGTGCCTTCCGGCTCCAGGGCCCACGAGCGTGACAACCTCGGTTTTCCTGGTCCTCGCTGTCCACTACCTCGTAAAGCACACAGAACAATCTGGTTCTGCGGCAAGTCACCCTGTCACCCCACAGGGGCGGACGGTGCAGGGTGACTTCCGGCAGAGACTGCAGGGCTGGGCAGCAGCAAGCGGCAGCGGTAACGGTTGCCAGTGACCCTGCACAGAACCGTCCACGCTGCCCACCTATGGGCTCCTCTGAAAGCTGCTTGTAGTTTTTTCAAGGCGGTCACGAGGTCCGGGTCACAGTTCCCATTTTGCCACGACAGTGTTAATCCGCTCTCAGCCACGGCTCCTGACTTCTGCGGCTCTTGGCTTCCAATGGGGGTGAGGGGTCCCCAGGCTCTAAGGCTCAGGCTCGCCCGGCCAGTGAGCCGGGGCCGGTGCCACTGCAGGAAGGTCTGGCTCAGGACTGAGGGGCTCCAGGCTGCTGCGGCCAAAGGAATAAAGAAGAGCGGTGGGTTCTGACCTCGTTTCCACTCTTCGGGGCCACCCTGGGCCCGAGTTTCTCACTCAGAATAAAAAACCTCCGTAAATGCGGGAGGGCCAGGACAGGAGGTGCCTGTCAGGTGGCAGGCACCCGCTAGGCCACCGGCCTGCGAGCAGCGCCTGGCCACGACTCGGACCTCAGAGCTCCGGCCCCTGGTGCGCATTCGATCACCTCCAGACGCCTCTCTGTCAGCGTGGCCTCCACGCGCGTGGAGCGTGCCCGTGACTGGGCCCACCTCCGGACTCCTTTCCTGCCCCCGACGGACGGCCCCGCTCCAGCATCTCCTAAGCAGGCGGCGCCAGAAGGCAGGTGCGGAGCCGCTGAATGGGCATGACCTCCGGCCCCCGCCTGGCAGTCAACACCCAGGGCTCTGGGGCCCAGCGGCTTCGTCTCTTCCCGCCTGCACCCCAGGTTAGCAGGGCTCAGACGCAGCTCCAGGGGCTTCTGAGAGTGGCAGGTGTTTTACACGCGAGCCACAGACACACCGAATGTCCTGCTGGAAAGAAACCCTGGAAGCAGGCCACCGTGAGTCCCTCTTCCCTGTGCCCCTCCCCGGGCGTCCCTGCCCCCCCCCCCCGAGCGGCACAGGGACGAGGGGGTCCCGAGGGTCTGGAAGGGGACGGCCTTGCTGTGCCCCCACGCGGAGACGTGCACCATCCCGGGTAAAGGGAACAGAAAAGCGGAGGTTACGAGACAGGGATCCGCTCACCAAACTCGCCGTCCTGGGGAAGATGCTAGAACACAGGACCGTGACCGGGTCTCCATGTTTCGGAACCACATGCCTGAGTCCCTAACAGTGAGACAACGTGAGGCAAGGACGGGAGGCAGGGCTCAGTGAGGGGCCCCGGTGAGGCGGCCGCGGGCAGGCCAGCTCTTCACGTGGGTGACAGGGCACTGGCTCCGAGGGCTCAGAAATCCGAGAAAAACCACTGTCCTTTAACAGACACCACGGAGGGGCGCTCAGGGGGTTGGGAGGCTAAGCGTCGGACTCTTGATTTCAGCTCAGGTCATGATCTCACAGTTCGTGGGAACGAGCCCGTGCTGGGCTCCCTGCTGACAGTACAGAGTCTGCTGGGGATTCTCTCTTTGCCCCTCCTCTCTCTCTCTCTCTCTCAAAATAAGTAAACTTAAAAGTTATTTGAAACCACGCCATGGAAAAACCCGAGGAGCCTTCTGAACCCTT